TTTATTAAAAAAATCATTCACAAATTTATGTCCATCAATTTTAAATGTGTATATAGCATGCATGTGCTGATGATTTCCTTTCAATATGACACCATCAAATCAGAAAACCATGTCCTGGCAATGTGCGGTGCTCTTCAAATGCTTTCCACAACCAGTACCAGACCCTTTTGCTGGGTAGGAATGATGGAAGGCATAGTGAAAACAACTAGACAGCACCAGATTGTGTAGTTTGGAGGACTGAATGTTGTAGATCCATGAAAGTCTAGTAAATTATCTTTTTGCTTTCTGGTTTATATATTCATAGTGTTCTGTGATGCCTGAATGCTTGTCACAGTAAGTGAAATGAAGGACATTTTCAGTGTTCCTCATGATATTCATTCAGGCTTTGGCTTCACTTGCAAACTTGTGGTCTTTCATCTGACCTATGAGCTCATAAATTCTGTAAGCTAGTATACACACATCCCTGTAAAAATCAACAAGAGGAAAGGTGCTAAAATAGGTCTGTAAGATCAAAACAAGCATTTGGCAGTAGCGAGCTGACAAGGGCATAAGTGCAAAGCCTGCACAGCATGCCTAGAAAAATGGAAGACATTGCAGTCATGGCAGAGTTTTTAGTTTCCCCAGTGTGTGGCACAATACCCTAAAACGAACGTATGTTTTTGCTAAGAGTATTTGCTAATGTTCTTGACCTCAAGATGAAAAAGTGCTTTGATATGTTGCCCGTTGAAAAAGTTGTCATTCCCACACATTTATATGAAGCTTTTATTTAGAAGGGGGTCCTCACCCCACCCCAGCAATGGCAAACTAGATGGTCACCCTAAATGTCCTCCCCCTCACCCCTGTGGGACAGCAGTCTCTTACCACAACACGGGACCTGTCTGTTCCCTATTGCTCATCTTGACATCAGCCAGCATGATGGGGTGCTGAGAAAGGGGAGGGGCAAAGAGGGACCCCCACTTCTCTCCCCAGCTGATGTCAGGGCAAATAGCAGAGAAATAGTAGATCACATGTCATGACTGGAGACGGTTGTGACACAGGGGGTAAAGGGGAAGGGGACTCAAGCCTGGGGAACATGGGATGACAGTGGGGACAGTTGTAGCCGGTTTTATTGAGGAACAGGCCCAAGTGTCCTCATTGGACCAAAATCACGGGAAAGTCTGAATTCTGGATTAGAATTCAGGCTTTCCTCCAAATTACAGTAATGAAGGCCAAGGATGCATTAAGGAGTAGCATTATCCTAATTGACACCTGTCTAAATGATAATTGTAGATGGGACCCTGGCCTCTGCAAGGGCATCCCCACAATTTTGTTTTGCTTTTGTTTATTTTGCAGAGAAATTAATGTTGCACAGAAACCTCTTTTTCAAAAAGTAAATTTTAAAAAATGGACAGAAACTTGTATCTCATTCCAACAACGAGAAAACTTGATTTTTTTCCTTTTTGTTTAAGAATTAAATAGTAGAATAGTAGATTAGTAGATTTTGCAACAGACAATCTCCTTCGAACAATACCCTCAACATGCCTTCAGTATCTGTCTATCCACCTATCTATCTCTTTATATACTTGTTGTGCAGATATATTTGATCATATCTTAGCTTCTTTAACCCTGTACCTTTAGAAATTTTAGTTCTTTTTCTTTTTACTTTTACTGTAGAAATCACCTGTGTTTTCACACAAAGAAAATACAAAGGATATCTGTGCCTTGCAGTTGAATAAATACTTTATCTCATTATTTAGGGGAGAGATAGATTAACTAGTCCATGAGGTGCTTCCCACTTTATCAAGTAAATTTTACCACAAAGTTGATTTGTATGGGATTAAGGAGAGTAATGGTATTATATAAATCAGGATGGAGATTAACAGATTTCTTTCTTTGTTTAGTACATATGATCAGTTACCAAAACAGTTATGGTCATGGGAGCATTAGAAGGGAGTTTTGGGGGGGGGGGTTACTTTATTTCTCACAAACAATTGTATGTGCAGTTGCCCTGTTTAGAGTATCCTTGGGCCTGAGATTTCAAGGGAAAATCTGAAGCATAGAAATAATCTCATTGTGATGTTATGGGAAGGACACTGATGATGTTACATTATGGACTTCATCAGATGGAGTGGGGGGAAACAGGGGAAAGTGGAGGGAAACATCTTATCCTGTTCCCTCCTGTCTTGAGGGATGGCCAGCAGTCCCATGTCCTTAGCTTTCTTTTCCCCACTTTCTCCCATCATAAGGCTGTTGGAAGTCGGGTAACACTCAACTTCTGCGGAAATGGAGTCCTACTGGAAGTCCCTTACATCATGTGATGGCCTCCTTGTGACTCTCGTAGGGCTCTGTTTTCTCAGTGGATGTAAATGAAGCCCCACACTCTTCTGATGAGGTCCTCAGTGTCAAGAATAATTGTAAAGAGAATTCCATTCAAAGAAGAAAATAACCCACACCAAACTAACAAATAAAGAAAAAAATATGCAAACTTTTCAAGACACTGCTCCTCCCTGAGTCTTCATCCCATTGCCCCGAGGATCGGAGAAGAAGGACCAGACCCAGAGATCTGGTAGTTCTAATTACATTAGAGTTTGAGTGAAGATCATTAAAAATAAACTTCTCTTGCACTGGAAGAATAACGTATACAAATGTGCTGCTGTTGTGTGCCTTCAAACCATTTTTCACGTATGGAAACCCTGAGGCAAATAGGGTTTTCTTCACAGTGGGTTGTTGTAGGTTTTTTCGGGCTATATGGCCATGTTCTAGAGGCATTTCTCCTGACGTTTCGCCTGCATCTATGACAAGCATCCTCCGCTTGCCATAGATGCAGGCGAAACATCAGGAGAAATGCCTCTAGAACATGGCCATATAACCCAAAAAAACCCTACAACAGCCCAGTGATTCCAGCCATGAAAGCCTTCGACAATACATTTCTTCACAGTATTTGTTTAGAGGGAGTTTGCCAGTGCTCCTTTCTGAGGCTGAGATTTGCCCAAGGTCACTCAGTGGGTTTCCATTTATATGTCTTACATTTTCATTATCTCAAGCACATTCAGTATATACATGAAGGGAATATCCTCATTTAGTAAACATATGTGCAAACATATACAGAAGGAAATTGTTGCATGTAATTTAGACCAAGAAAATCTAATGTACAGTGACAGATGCACAGCATTTTAGAGCAGAGCGAAATAATACAGTTACTCCAATTACTGTGCATTGATAAACTACTGACAAATTGGCATTTCAAGGAAATAATAATAATGTCAATGATGTAATTGTGTGTGCAGAGGTGACTACAGGCAGTCCCTGAGTCACAAACAAGTGACTTACGAACGACTCATAGTTGAGACTGGCTGTGAGACCACAGGAAGTGAGGAAAATCTATTCCTTGGAAGGGAAATTCACTCTTGGAAGAATCATTATGGGAAAAAGATGTCCCAACTGAAGTTTTTCTCACCAATCTTTGTTTCCACAACAAGCCAAAATTTTAAAAATCAAATATCACAGTGACACAAATTGAGGTGAAATCTTCTAAACAGGGGCACAGACAGCAAAACAGATTCCACATGGGGTGTTAACTTGTCCCTGTGTTATCCAAAGTCTGTGTGTGTGTGTGTATGGCTGGAGTTCCTCTTAAAATGCCTCTGCTCAGACTTACATACAAATTCAACTTAAGAACAATCCTACAAAATCTATCTTGTTCGTAACTTGGGGACTACCTGTATATTTTGTGTAACTTGATTGTTTTTCAATTTTCAAGGGCGGTTTACTGGCATGTGAAATATATTTGTCTGGTGGATATTAATGTTTCGGTTGGGGATTTAAATATTTTTCATTCTGCTTGCAATGCTTTTTTCTGGCTAGAAGGGTATACAGTATTTCAGAATTACTTTATTGTTTTTAGATGTTAACTATTTTGTGGTCTGTGCATGTTTTTAAAAGGCTACATTAGGAAGGTGTAGAAGAAATGATTAAAACAACTGTGTATGAAGGGTGATTGTTAAATTCTGCAATCATAAATACCGTATATACTCGAGTATAAGCCGACCTGAATATAAGCCGAGGCACCTAATTTTACCACAAAAAAACTGGGAAAATGTATTGACTCGAGTATAAGCTAAGGGTGGGAAATGCAGCAGTTACTGGTAAATTTCAAAATAAAAATAGATACCAATAAAATTATATTAATTTAGGCATCAGTAGGTTAAATGTTTTTGAATATTTACATAAAACTGTAATTCAAGATAAGACTGTCCAACTCTGATTAAACCATAATTCTAACCTTCTACAATGTAAATATGCTTACATGTCCTCCAATAATAATAGAGTAAAAGTATAAATGTAATAATAACAATAATGAATAGAGTAAAATAATGAATGTAATAACAACAATAATAAAATAATGTAATAATAATAATAACAACAACAAAGTAAAATAATAAATAATATTGACTCGAATATAAGCCGGGGGAGACTCTTTCAGCCTAAAAAAGGACTGAAAAACTCGGCTTATACTCGAGTATATACAGTAAATGTTGGTCAGCTTAACTGAAATAAAAAGTGGACTGGGAACAAATGATTTGCAAACTGTTGGTTGGTTTTCAAAAGAGTCAAAAGTCTGAGTTGTACAGTTAGCTGGAGATGCTGGAATATTTTTTGAAGCACAATATGTTCCTACTTTTGCTTTAAAAAGAAAAGAACTGGTGCTGTTTCTTAAACAAATGTTTCCTCTTGTTCACTTACTCACTCACTCAGAATAAACACTTGATTTTTCATTTTCAAAAATTATGTATTTGTATTTGTATATCCAAAAACTACAACAGCTCTCCTGGGCTCTCACAGGGAAATCACAATTCCTTTGGACAATTGTACTCAGAAAAATATGGATCATTTCCAATATTAAGAGTAGAGGATGTGTTGTTTCCATAGTGTGAAAGATAATCTTGATGACTGCTTAGAGTTTATTGCCATTTAGATTGTTTTCAGAATTTGTGCATTTTTCTCTCTTTCTCTTTCTCCAGAGGGTATGAACTGTATGAACAAAGATCATGGGTGCGCGCATATCTGCCGGGAGACACCCAAAGGTGGGGTTGCCTGTGAATGTAGGCCTGGCTTTGAACTTGCCAAAAACCAGAAGGACTGCAAATGTAGGTAGATTCAGACAAATCTCAATTGCCCAATATGTGTTATTTTCTACATTGCTGTTTTTCCCCTCTAAAAACTGATCCGTTTGGTTTTATTGACCTGAGGTTTTTAGTCAGAGGTCATATTGGAGTAAAAGGTTAGATTGTTATTTTATAAACTGGGAATGCGTAGGCTCCACCAATGAAAGTCCACAGATCAGAATGGAAATGCTACATTTGGTACAGAATTTATGGAAGCTTAATGACAGAGCACAATCGAAACACTGTCTACCTAGCTGCAATCAATATATGATATGTTTCTAGCTTTTTCAGTCATCTGAGCCAATGTGGTCGTAGTCCATGTATATAGTGTGGCCTACAGCCATTGCAATGGTCTTGAATTTGAATAAGACATTCTGGATTAGATAGTATAATGGGAACTATAACTCAAATGCCCATGAAATGGATTGTACTTTGATCTACATTTCAGTAAGCCTAAATTGCAGTATAATAACTAATGCCCATCATACAGGTTGCAACTTCTGCAGTTAGCACCACCTTTATCCAGGATCCTCTGCAAACACATGTCAGACTTTAGGTTGTGTATCTGTCTGGGTTTTGTGACTATCATGTCTGACTATTTCATTGACATTTTGTGTGTTTAAACAACTTCTTTAGCTGAGTGGTAGAGTAAAATAATTTTAGAATAAAGAACAGAAGAGAGCATGTTTATGAACATTCCACTATGTCATAATAGCTTAATCTGGAATGTCAGCAAACTGCCAAATTTTATCTTGGAGGCTTTAGGAGAATGAAGGAATTAAAAACAAACATGACCAAGTAAAAGATTTGCAAAACCAAAGTATGTATTCCTCTATCCTTGGCCTTTCAAAGACTCTGAAAAATACTTTCTGGGAAGTTCTTGGTTTCTGCTCTATATCTATATTACTATCATGCAGTATTGAACATGCCTGATTTAAAAGTAAATCCAAAGTAAAACAAAACCTATGTTAGTTAATTGTGACAAATCTGTTTGGATAAATACTGATTGATACATATTTGTACATTATTGGAAAGCAGAAAATATTTGCTTGTTTTGGTAATAAATTAAGAAATTTCCACCTATTATTTGAATACAGATCAAATGGATATCTTCAAACCAGTTTTAATACATCTTAATGAATGGCCAACATTATTTTTATTCCAGTTTAACAATACTATTTTAATAGTGAGAATTACAGCTTGGTGGAAATGCTTAACATTTTCTGATACAGATGTGCATTCTTTCACAGTTCTGCAGTACCTAGGGATCCTTCAAGACCAACATGAGCACCTGATACATCCCAAGGCACTCATAAATACCCTGCTACCCAATTGGTAGGGTCCTGGGCAAGATGCAGCAGTGGTACAAGTGCCCTAGGATGCTAGGTGCTCATGTATAGGTTCACCCCACATTTTAATTGGTTTGAGCCACAACAAAGAGAGTGGCTCAAACCAATTAAAACGTGAGGTGAACCTATACATTGCAAAATGTTTCACAGAATATTGTCTATACTTATCAGACAAAATAATATTTCTGCTGTTCAGCTGTAAATGTATGTCAACAAATGTGAAGTAAGAGACATACTTCCCTTATCAGAGAATTCGGGACAAAGGCTATTCACATAGATGTCATTGATTCAATCCAATGGTCCAACCCAACTAGAGTGCACCCATTGGATCAGTGGAACTTACATAAATGTTGACATAACAAAGTACCATTGTTTCAATGGGCCTCCTCTATTTGGTACTAACAATTGAATTTATGCCATTGTTTTCTACAGGGTGAGGCAGCATAACTTCCTTTTTTCAAAACTTAATAAAACCCATTATATGAATCAGAAATTTTTTTTTTATTTTATAATGTAGGCGCATACCTAAAGTTTTGTTTTACATAGTTTTGAAGATCAAATTAGGTAGGTGATGTCCCCCATTCTCCATACACTGAGTAAACCGATTTCTGCAGTTTGTCATGAGTCTTGCCAGCATAGCAGGCGTTATGTTGGCAATTTCTTCCTGGATGTTGGTCTTCAAATCTTGTAGGGTCCTTGGACGGCTCACATAAACACGGGATTTCAAAAAACCCCATAGAAAAAAATCACAAGGGGCCAAATCTGGAGAACGGGCCGACCACTCCAAATCCACTCGAAAAGTAGGCCTCAATGGCAAAAGCATGCTCCTCACTGTTCCAACCCATGATGGCGACTGAACTGTGTCAGGACAAAACGTGATACTCCCACCTCTCCGATGAGACCACTAGCACTCTGCTACGTCTTCAACCAACTGAATGACGTGCATATTAAAAAAGGAAGTTATGCTGTCTCACCCTGTATTAGGGTTGTATGAAATGGCAGAAATCCATTCTGTTTTCGTTTCAAATTTTGAGAGTCCCCCAGTTCTGTTTTCAGGAAGATTCTGGAAGATTAGGAGGAGGGCCATCCGGAGTCATAATTCAGGATCTGGAGTTCTGTTTCCGTTTCGGGAAGAATTTTCCTGAAAACAGAACAGTGGATACCCAAACTTCGAAATAAAAATAGAATGGATTTCTGCAATTTCGTGTACCTCTATTTTCTATCAACTTTGAATCTTCTTTCTGGAAATTAAACATTGCCCCAGTTTTCTTATCAAGCTCTACCTTCTTCCAGTAGGAATCCATTTTCCAACCTAGGCACAAATGATCTAGAAGACTGACTTGAATCTCAACTGGAGTGGGCCAGTAGAATCAATAGGATGTGCCCATATGTTCATGCATTATTCAACGATCAGTTAGGATTAATCCATAGGATTTAGGATAAAATCCCATTTTAAAAAATCAATTTCTCCATCACAGCTGCTCCCCTTGCCAACTCAGTCTTTCACATCAATTCTTTATTTCTTAATTAGCCTTCATAGAAATTGAGGAAGGGGGTTGAAAGGTTAGAGAGGGAAATATATTGGAAATGGGACAACTGCAGAGAAAGCACACATTCAGAAGGAAGGAAGCACTGGGTGCATCCACACTGCACAAATATAGCAGTTGGGCTGCCATGGCTCCATCTCTCGGAATGCTGGAATGTATAGTGTGACGAAGTGTTTCCAATTCTGAAGTACACTGCCCTGAATTACAGCATCTGAACTCCCTGGCAGAAATCTAAACATTTAATGGGATTCCAAATAATGTAAAATGGAGCCGCATTAGATAAAGTGCATAGAGTGGATGAATTCAAAAACCATCCACTTCCCTGCTCGTAAAACAGTTGCTATAGATGGAATGGAAACACCTTGCAAGAGAAGCACCTTGCAAAGAGGAAAAAACAGGGACAAAGCAGGCAATATCAAAAAGCAAGTCAAATGGTCCCATCAGATATACAGTACTCCCAAAATGGTGTGGGGGTGGTTAGCTGAGTGGTAGTTGTTGGTAGTTGCATACAGAATTAGATAACAAACTGTCAAACATCTCTGCTAGGTTTCTCAAACAACCTAATTTAGTTTCAGAAATACAGCCCACTTAAAATTTCGCCTTTCTGACTGCTTAAGATAATTGCATTTCTTAGCATTGGGCTATTTGTACAGGGGTCTCTTGTAGGCTTCCCAATCTATATAAATAAAAATGTAATGTTAGTTTGTGGGATTAACATAACTCAAAAACCACTGGATGAACTGACATGAAATTTGGATACAATACACCTATCAGGCCAACGAGTGACCATCACTCATAAAAACACTGGAAAACACAGCAGAAGGGACTCAAATAGCAAAAAAATACATTTCAACGCATGTACATAACCACATTGTTCCCCTGACATTAAGCCCAGTCGTGTGCAACGCGGAGCGGGGGGGTTGGGTTGGTGCTCATCTCTATTTCTAAGCCCAAGAGGCGGTGTTGTCCATGGACACCTCCAAGGTCATGTGGCTGCATGATTGCATGGAGCAACGTTACCTTTCTGCCGGAGCAATACCTATTGATCTACTCACATTTGCATGTTTTCGAATTGCTAGGTTGGCAGAAGCTGGGGCTAACAGCGGGAGCTCATGCCGCTTCCCGGATTCGAACTTGCAACCTTTCGGATAGCAAGTTTAACAGCTCAACAGTTTAACCCACTGCGCGACTGGGGGCTTCAGCATAACCACATGTGTATTTATGCATAATCACATAAATACACATATACACAAATATACACACACACATATACACACACACAAAACACATATATACAGACTGGGCCACAGCAACACGTGGCAGGGGACAGCTAGTCTATATAAATAAAAATGTAATGTTAGTTTGTGGGATTAACATAACTGAAAAACCACTGGACGGATTACCATCAAATTTGGCCACAAGACAACTACTAACCAAGGAGTGACCATCACTCAAAACATTGATTTTGTCATTTGGGAGTTGTAGTTGCTGGGATTTATAGTTAACCTACAATCAAAGAGCATTCTGAACTCCACCAATGATGGAATTGAACCAAACTGGCACACAGAACTCCCATGACCAACAGAAAATACTAGAAGGGTTTGGTGGGCATTGACCTTTAGTTTGGGAGTTGTAGTTCACCTACATCCAGAGAGCACTGTGGACTCAAACAATGATGGATCTGGACCAAACTTGGCACGAATATTCCATATGCCCAAATATGCACACAGATGGAGTTTGGGGGAAATAGACCTTGACATTTGGGAGTTGTAGTTGCTGGGATTTATAGTTCACCTACAATCAAAAGCATTCTGAATCCCACCAACGACAGAATTGGGGCAAACTTCCCACACAGAACCCCCATGACCAACAGAAAATACTTAAGCCATCCAGTCCAACTGCCTTCACCAAGGCAAGAAGACATAATCAAAGCCCTCCTGACAAAGAGCTATCCAGCCATAGATATAGTTAGATATATATGATTCACACATACACAGATGTAGTATCATAGATTTGAAAGGGACCCTTAAAGAAGGACAATTATATGTTGCATGTTCCAGAGTAGGCAAACCAGACAATCTCTACATCAACACTGACAAAGAAACAAGAAGAAATAGTGTTCACCCACAAGCATAAAGAAATTACATATATTAGAAACCAATACTTTCTCATTACTGATCCTGTTTTTGTGAAGATTCTTCTCAAAATAGAAATGGATCTCTGGATCCCAAATTACGAATCCAAACAGCCTTTCCTTTAATTTCCCAGAATCTTCCCCAAAACATAACTGGGTGGGATGGGGGACACCTGAAATTTTAAATGAAAACAGAATGTATTTGCACACCCCTGGGACACATTTCTGATTTATGTAGACCCAAATGTGAAATTATGCAGGTGTTTGTTTGTTTTTGTTTTTTTGGTAGGGTTTGCTCAGAGGGGTTTCCTTTGCTTTCTTCTGAAACTGGAAGTGTTTGATTTGCCCAAGGGAGAGAATTGGAATCTTGGGCAATCATCTACATTGATGGTTTAGATCAGTGTAAGACCTGATCAACCCCATGGCAGCCAAATGATGCATGGAACGGATCTAGGGTAGTGCATTAAAAAAAAGCTGGGGGACAGTCCAATTTCAAGGTCAGAATTTAGACTATCCCCTAACTTTGGACCTGGTGAACAGTTGGGCCAGTTCCAAAACAGAACTGGTTGTAACTGTTCCATTGGCATCCCATGTTTCTTGGGTGGCCCAAGGACATGTGATGACAGTCACTGCCCCCTACTACCTTCTATGCTGCAGTTGTCTCCTGCTGTGACACAGATCCTACCTTCCAACCATTTCATTCTGTGACATCAGCTAAGGTGACAGTATGCTCTGAGAAGAGAGAAGTAGAGACTCATTTCAACATGGGGAGTGAGATAGGATGGTTAGAGTGACTGCCCAGTGGCATTGCATATGGCATCTCTAGTCAATCAAGATTCTGGGTTGTTGTAGGTTTTTTGGGCTATATGGCCATGTTCTAGAAGCATTATCTCCTTATGTTTCGCCTGCATCTATGGCAAGCATCCCCAGAGATTGTGAAGACCTGGAAAACAAACTCGGCCAAGAGTACAAAGTCCAACACATTCCTCGCTTGCCTTGCAGACAATTTCATGGTTCAGAAGGTAGAAGAAGCAACAAGGGGGTCAGCTACTCTCGATAACATACTAACAAATGTGGAGGACCTGATCGATGCAGTTGAAGTGGTTGGATCCTTAGGGGCAAGTGACCATGTGCTCCTGCAATTTGAGGTACAAAGGAAGGCTGAAACTAAGACAAGTCAAACCCACATTTCGGACTTTAGGAGAGCTGCCAGCCAAAATATGAAAGAAATACTGAGCAGCATTCCGTGGTCACAGATACTAAAAGACAAGGGAGTTATGGATGGATGATAGTTTTTCAAGAGAGAAGTACTTAAGGCGCAATTGCAAACAGTGACAACAAAGAGAAAAATAGGACAAGTGCAAAGAAGCCAGAATGGATGTCCAAAGACCTTCTAACTGTGCTAAAACTCAAAAGAGACATGCACAAGAAGTGGAAAAAGAGAGAAATCACAAAAGAAGAATTTAAACAAATAGCCAACTCCTGTAGGGAAAATGTTTGCAAGGCTAAAGCACAAAACAAGCTCAGGCTTGCCAGGGACATTAAAAACAATAAAAGGCCTTTTTTTCTTATGTCAGTAGAAAAAGAAAGAACAAGGAGGCAATAGTGCCTCTTTGAGGAGAAGACGGGCAATGCTGGCAGGTGATAGGGAAAAGGCAGAACTACTTTAATGCCTTCTTTGCCTTGGTGTTCTCACAAAAAGAAAGTCATCTTCAACCTCAGCAAGATGGAGTGGATGACAGATTAGAGGACACTCAACCCCAAATTGGGAAACAAGTCATCCAGGAATACCTGGCCGCTCTAAAGGAGTTCAAGTCCCTGGGGCCAGATCAACTACACCCAAAAGTACTGAAGGAACTAGTGGAAGTCATCTCGGAACCATTGGCAATTATCTTTGAGAGTTCTTGGAGAATAGGAGAAGTTCTAGCAGATTGGAGGAGAGCCAATGTGGTCCCAATCTTCAAGAAGGGAAAAAAGGATGACCCAAACAATTACCATCCGGTCAGCCTCACGTCAGTACCCGGCAAGATTCTGGAAAAGATTGTTAAGGAAGTGGTCTGCAAACACCTAGAAACAAATCCCGTAATTGCTAATAGTCAACACGGATTTATCAAAAACAAGTCATGCCAGACTAATCTGATCTCGTTTTTTGATAGAGTTACAAGCTGGGGAGATGCAGATAATGCCGTGAATGTAGCATATCTGGACTTCAGTAAGGCCTTCGACAAGGCCCCCCCATGACCTTCTGGCAAACAAACTAGTCCAATGTGGGCTAGGCAAAACTACGGTGAGGTGGATCTGTAACTGGTTAAGCAGACGAACCCAGAGGGTGCTCACCAATGTTTCCTCTTCATCCTGGAAAGAAGTAATGAGCGGAGTGCTGTAGGGTTCTGTCCTGGGCCCGGTCCTGTTCAACATCTTTATAAATGACTTCGATAAAGGGTTAGAAGCATGCTCATCAAGTTTGCAGAATGACACCAAATTGGGAGGGATAGCCAATACTCCAGAAGACAGGAGCAGAATTCAAAACGATCTTGACAGATTAGAGAGATGAGACAGACTCATGATCTCAGTTCTTGTGGGTTTTTTCGGGCTATATGGCCATGTTCTAGAGGCATTTCTCCTGACGTTTCGCCTGCATCTATGGCAAGCTTCCTCAGAGGGGAGGTCAGACCTCACCTCTGAGGAAGCTTGCCATAGATGCAGGCGAAACGTCAGGAGAAATGCCTCTAGAACATGGCCATATAGCCCGAAAAAACCCACAAGAACTGAGTGATTCCGACCATGAAAGCCTTCGACAATACATTTAACAAAATGAAGTTCAACAGTGGCAAATGCAAGATACTCCACTTAGGCAGAAAAAGTGAAATGCAAAGATACAGAATGGGGAAAGCGTGGCTTGAGAGCAGTGAAAAAGATCTTGGAGTCCTCGTGGACAACAAGTTAAACATGAGCCAACAATGTGATGGTGGCAGCAAAAAAAGCCAATGGGGTTTTGGCCTGCGTCAATAGGAGCATAGTATCTAGATCTAGGGAAGTCATGCTACCCCTCTATTCTGCTTTGGTTAGACCACACCTGGATTATTGTGTCCAATTCTGGGCACCACAATTCAAGAGAGATATTGACAAGCTGGAATGTGTCCAGAGGAGGGTGACTAAAATGATCAAGGGTCTGGAGAACAAGCCCTATGAGGAGAGCTTAAAGGTTTAGCCTGAAGAAGAAGAGGCTGAGAGGAGACATGATAGCCATGTGTAAATACTTGAGAGGAAGTCACAGGGAGGAGGGGGGCGAACTTGTTTTCTGCTTCCCTGGAGACTAGGATGTGGAACAATGGCTTCAAACTAGAAGAAAGGAGATTCCATCTGAACATTAGGAAAAACTTCCTGACTGTGGAACTCTCTGTCCCAAAGTGTGGTGGAGGCTCCTTCTTTGGAACCTTTTAAACAGAGGCTGGATGGCCATCTGTCGGGGGTGCTTTGAATGCAATTTTCCTGCTTCTTGGCAGAAAGGGGTTGGACTGAATGGCCCATGAGGTCTCCTCCAACTCTATGATTCTATGACTTTCCATAGGTGGGCAATCTCTCACATTTAGAGAACAAAGTAATCTTACAACGCTGTTTCAAGTAGCTTTCCTTTTTTCCCCCTAGTATCGCAGAAATGGGGTTGTTTTTTGCAAGAAGATATTTGAATAGTTATTGGGATTAGTATTTTCTGTTGCATATGTATGCAAGTATCATCGTGCATGTGGCTTCTTTAGAACCTTCATAGGGATTTGGGGAACCCTGCTCACTCTAGCGCACAAGTCAAAGCAAGCTTCTACCTATTTTCTCAGTCTTTCCAACAACTAGGAACCTTCATGTGACCAACTTTATTCACATTTCTTTATTTTTATTTCTGTGTATGTCCTTTATAACTTTCTTTATTATCTCAAACATTTTTTTCTTTGATATCATAATTAATTTATTGTCCTTAAGGGCCTTGTGTGGCCTTCTGCAGATGATAGTGAGGCAGTAAATCTTTTTTTGTTGAGACAACTCAATTAAAGTCTGGGCTTCAGCTGAGTTGTCCAAGGTCCTAGAAATGGTTGAACTAATGCTCTGGATAGATTCATCATTGTGCTGATATTAGGACTGTTGAAGGTAACCAACTGTACCACAGGACAGGACCAGCAATGACAGAAGATTTGGGCAAAACCAATGTAAATATTAGTTGAATTATTGTGTCATATGCCTTGTCTATTAAAACATTACTTTCTTTCATGTGCCTAGATGGTTCCCCACAAACAACTAATTAGTTTCATTGTTGTTTTATTCATATATATGTATATACACATGTTTTTGGGGGAATAACTAGTAACCTGTAACTATGGAAATGGAGGCTGCCAACACACCTGTGATGACACAGATACTGGTCCTGTCTGCGGTTGTCACCAAAAGTATGCCCTACACTCTGACGGCCGAACGTGTATTGGTAAGTACCTCTCTAAACAATAGAATTTGCGGGGTGGGGTGAAATATTGTTTAAAAAATGCACAGTCAGCTCTTGGTGTTACTTAAGATTTGTTTTGTAAAGATTATGGAAATCATCACTGAAAAAGTGTAATGTATTTCTACTGAAATATTTGATGCTGTTTGTGTTTATGTGTATTCTATAGTACTTTTTAAACATATTAATGTACACTGTGAAACACTGTTCAGCTCTCTGCCCCTTTTACTTTTTAATGCAAAAGTAGGAGCAGTTGCTATTCATGCACATGTATCACTAACTAGAAGTATGGGCTTGACAGTTGTGTTATCAATAATATATTTTATACAAATTTCCAATTTTAAGAATTATTTGGGAGATAAATTAATTTTCATTATGAGGACTGGAATGTGTATTTTTAAACATGTGTGATCCATGTGGGGTATCAGTTCTTATCATGACCATATGATGAGAAACAAACATGCTAACTTATACATGAAAATGGTTCACCACATGGTTTAAGTGGATTTTCTGTCTAAAAAAGAAAGAATCCATACAGAGAATATGTCAGAAATCACACATAACAGTTGAGTTTACCAAGTGCAACGTCTAGCTACCTTATAGTTTTGGCGCAATGGGTTAAACCCTTGTGCCAGCAGGATTGCTAACTGGCAGATGAGCAGTTCGAATCTGGAGAGAGTGGGTTAAGCTCCCTCTGTCAGCTCCAGCTCCCCATGCAGGGACATGAGAGAAGCCTCCCACAAAGATGGTAAAACATCAAAACACCTGGGCATCCCCTGGGCAATGTTCTTGCAGACGGCCAGTTCTCTCACACCAGAAGCGACTTGCAGTTTCTCAAGTTGCTCCTGACATGAAAAAATAGTAATATGAAGGTTTGAAGCACTATTTTAATAGTATTGTAAAATATATTTGTTTGTTGCAAGCAACATCTCTTTATTACAGATGTTGCTTTTTTTAAAAAAAAGTTGTGCTGTTCCTGCTGAATGAGCAAAGAAACCAGTTTGTAATAAAGTAATCACAGAATGAATATATTAACTGTTGAATCCATGATGAGAATCTGATGCCAGGATATAGAGTCAATATGAGAAATAAAGTTCAGTCGTCAGAGAGAAATTAACTATGTAGGGCCAGCCAAAGAATATAACTGTATTACATGAGATGCAAGAAAAGATAGAAATTCATGAAGTGAATGTTTTCTAATGAGGAATAATTGTCTAGAGTTTATTGTAGTGACAATCGTAGAATAAGCAGAGATGTTATTTAGTATAAGTTTACAGATACATGGTTTATTGGATAAGGGACTTGCAAATGGTAATAGCTAATAAAATATAATCTTTAAATTTTACTCCAAAATATAAAAATTATTTAAAATCAATCAGAATTAGACTGTTAAAGCTTTTTATTTAATGGGAGATATGCTTAGGTTTGTCATGTAAGATCAATGAGACGTAAATGAGTTCCAACTGGTATTACAATCTACAGCAGTGGTTCTCAACCTGGGGTCCCCAGATGTTTTTGACCTTCAACTCCTAGAAATCCTAACAGCTGGTAAACTGGCTGGGATTTCTGGGAGTTGTAGGCCAAAAACATCTGGGGACCCCAGGTTGAGAACCACTGATCTATAGCAACTGTATTTGGGAGAAGGTCACATTCAAGAAATACATTTTAAATATGGCAATCTGAAATATTATCAAAAGGTATGATCCAACATGTAGTATGCTCTTTTCAGTGCCATTGATTTCAGTAGGAGAATCAAACATAAGTATTACACCTATACAGACCCATACCCACATCTTTGAAATTAAAATGTATTTTACTAAAATTGTGCCCATAATAGTTCGGTGACTGTTTTCATCTCATTGTCTGGTTACTCTCATAATATCAAAATACTGAACATTATTTGATTAAGCTAGTCCTAACCGATTTCAATGGGAAATGATTACACCATTATTTTTTTCTGCATTCTCCTCTAAACCGAAAGAACTTTAAACTGTTTAAATCATTTTACACATAATTTAGAATTTAGCATAAAAAAATGGGTTTCACATTTTTAAAATTCTGGTAACATATTAAAACATGTTTACAATTTTTCAAACTTTTTCAAAACATGTTTACAATTTTTCAGTCTTAGATATTGAAATTTTCTAATTGTATGGATGAATTTGAATGCATAATTCCAGCAAACTTTGTATACATATTTTACTATATTCCTATCTTCCCTTTTAAACATAACATTTGGATACATTTCTGATGAAATTAACATATATTGACATCTTTGGACAAATGACTAGTTCCAGTAAGCCTGTATATTTGTTGAACAGAATATACTGAACGCCTTTTCAGCCAGCTTTGATTGTATATAACTAAAGATGTTGGTCCAGGAATGAAAACTATTCAACTTTTACTTTTTGCTGCTCTTATGTTTAGTACTATCAATCGGAGCTCCATGAATTTTAAAAAAGATAATTTTGGGGCTTAGGATGAAAGACTCTTTTTTTCCTTTATTAAAAACAAATTTATTGATGATTTTATCTAGCTGTGTTCATCTTGTTCTTGGATTTCTTCTAATTTTCGTTTTGCATACCTGAGACTTCTCTCAAAAATTTTGTTTGCATAAGGAACAATTGAAAAAAAAAAGCCATGTTGTATTATTGAAGAATTGGGGGCCTAGGTACAGATTTTGTTCAGGGAGCTGAAAATGAATCAATTTTGTTTAAATCTTTCTGCCTTCTAATGTCAAGGTGATGTGTATTTGGTTTGGCATTAAAAACTGTTGAACTGTTGAAAACTGCACATGTTCTCCTTTATTTTTGCAATATAATATATTTGCTATAGAATACTACTTCATGTTACATTTTCTGTGTTTGTGATGTAAATCACATATTGCTGCTTGTGTCGTTTCTTCCCTTCCTCCTCCTTCTCTTCCTTCTAAGTAGCTTCTTCTGTTAGATTTATTTATTTTTTTACAAATTTTGTTTTATTTTTACTCCTGCTTTCTGGTGATGGTTCCTGATTGCCTGTCTTGTCTGATCCCTGCTGTTCATTAATTATTTCTGGAAAAACAATATTAAAAGAAAAGACAAAAACCTCAAACCAAAGCCTCTATTGCAGCCTGATCCCATCTAGAACTTGTTTTTTTTCCCTCTTAGAACCGTCTCTTGTTACAACTCAACCATTTAGTATGACCACAGATAAAACCTGCCAGCTGCCTCCACTTCTTTCTCCTATCTGCCTACTGTTTGCTTTCTTCAATAGTGGTGCCTATTGGATGCAGATACCTGCAATGGCACCTACATGCCTTTTTGTCTAACCCATTTTGTCTTTGTTTTCTCAACTTAATCCTCTTATTTTATGTCTGCTGCATGTGAAAAGTCCCCACTTGTGTTTGGTATTTCCTTTTTAAATGCAATACTTCATTCCACGTGCATTATTTTGATCACTGCTTCCCCTGTATTGGCTTTTCCCCTTGAATGAGACCTTTTACTCACTTCATCTCTTCCCATCTTTGCAAGCAGATTGCTTTTTGGTAGATTTCTAAATATTGCATCATTTAACACCTATTACTGCTGGATAGGAGCTTTTCATATTTCGGATATCAGAAATGACCTAAAAGATGCCCTATGCCAGGGGTCCTCAAGCTAAGGCCCACGGGCCGGATACAGCCCTCCAAAGTCATTTACCTGGCCCTCACTCAGGGTCAACCTAAGTCTGAAACGACTTGAAAGCACACAACAATCCTATCTCATCAGCCAAAAGCAGGTCCACACTTCCAATTGAAATACTAATAAGTTTATATTTGTTAAAATTGTTCTTCATTTTAATTGATTGTATTGTTTTAAAGTGTTTTTTGCACTACAAATAAGATATGTACAGTGTGCATAGGAATTCATTAATGTTCTTTTCAAATTATAATCCGGCCCTCCAACAATTTGAGGGACTGTGACCTGGCCCTCTGTTTAAAAAGTTTGAGGACCCCTGCCCTATGCTAATGATATCCCCCACTTGACTGCATGCATCTAAAATCTCTAATCTCTTTCTGTGACATCCTTTGTCTAGCATTGAATGTTTAGCTAGTCATGTTCCATAGACAAGCAGGCAACCAGCACTGCCCAACTTAAGTGTTTTGGTTTTTTAAATTTATATTTGTTTTGTTTGCTATTTTAATTTTTTTTTAAATTTGCATGCATTTTTTTCTTCTGTGTTTTAATACATTGTGTCAGTGTGCACAACTCTATCATGTACCCATGCCCATCCATCACCGGATTCTTTTAGCTCTCTTCTGTGTGTTGATCACTTTTCTTGCCAGCTGAAAAGCTGGCATCTCTTCGCCTGCAACACTTAGATTGTCTTTTGTGTGTGAATGTGTAACCATGTGTTGAACTTGAAGCTTTATCCATTTAATTTCTCAATTAACACTGATCTGGGGCACCTTCTCTTCTGTGTTTGCGTTATGACTAGTGTGACACCAGCTTAACATATGTTGGCTGGCTAATGTTCCATCATTTCCTTCTGCCCACCTCCTCCACTCCCTTCCTCCAGCACACTTTGATTTATTTCTGGGATTTCAAATGGAATTAACTCTCTAAATGGGGTTTTAGTGCTTTCATGCTTCTTGGCTTAGGTTGTACCAGGCCAAGAAACTGTCTTCAGCAGTGGAAAATTGGGCTTTTCATTAACCAACTGCTCCATGTTTGTCCCTTACTTGTGTTTTAGAGAAGGATGAGGCTGCAATTGAGAGTTCTGAGTTCAATGCCACGTCAGTAGCTGATGTGGACAAGCGGGTGAAACGGCGGCTACTTATGGGTAACACTTTTCTTCCACTTCCTTTGATGTGCTCTCAACTTTTGTTTCTGTGTGGATGGGGATGGGGTGTTTTTCAATTATTTTTTATCTTGAGTTAATCATCTGTGTGCTGAGGTCATGATTGTTTAGAATTCTGCTTTTCCATCAAAAAGCCCATTTCCCATTTTAAATCTGTTCTCTTTCCCATCCAGTCCCTCTAATACTGTAGCTTTAATGTTTAAAGTCTTTGGTGCAGAGAATCAAACATTTGCCACTAACCATATTTACCCGTAGCAAGTCTGCTTTACACATGTAACTTTTCTTTGAGTACAAATTGATATAGCTTGGACATATATGGCTCTTGAGATTATATTTGGATGCTGATGTTATAAAAGAATTTATGTACTTTTTGCATATGTCTAACAATTAATTTTTCTTCACCTCAGCTGAACTATTTATATTCGTGCTTTAAATAATTTTATCTTCTTGTGGTTTGAAATTATGAGAATAATTCCTACGCCTCTCCACTCCCATGGTTGCTGATGTTCTTCTTTAAAGAGTAACTGTAAAGAATATAGAATTAAGGGTAGATGGAAGAATTTAATTTTTTTATTTAGTCATTTGAGTGAATAGCTTTATATTGTCCACCAGATTTCATTATAGTCATCCCTCCATATTTGTTGAGATTTGGACCAAAGACTCCACAAAAGTAGAAAATAAAAAACTTTCAAATTAAATAATACCTGAGGGCAGGCATGTAGCGGGGGGGGGGGGGCTTGAGGGGCTTCAGCCCCCCCCCCCCAAATTCTCAGGGTGGTCCGTGAGAAGGCCTTACTGGTACATTATTTAAACTGTTATGTTTATTCATAACATGATCTGACCACCATTCTCAATATATCCCATATGCATGGGGGTATTGGGGTAACGATACAAAAGGTTTGCTAGAGTAGATCCTCAGCCCCCCCCCCGAATAAAACTCAGCCCCCCCCAAATCAAACTCAGCACCCCCAGAATCAAAATCTACAGGCCTGCCTGAGGGAATATTTATCTAGGAATCTTTTAAGTCCTCTAGCACAGGGCTACGAAACATTTTTCAATCGCAACCCTTTTCTACTGATTTTTTTTTCATGACCTCTTTCCACTGAATAAATATTTATGCTGCCCTGGACATAGATAGGTATATAAATTAGGCATACGAATGAAACATTTACTTATAATAAATTAGCATTTTAAAGCCTTGCTTCCTTTTTATGAAGTACAGCTGCAGCATTTTCTGCAGAGTCCACTGTAATACTGCATGTTGTTGCTCACAAAACTGTGAAAATATCTAACTGGCATACAGAAACCTTTTAATGTTGCCAGTTTTTTTGTTTTTTTGCTAAGTTCTTAGCTATTGTAAATGTTTGATTCAAAACCAACTTATCATATTTAATCAGCAGAAACATTTTCTCTTTGAAGAAAAAATAAAACTGGTTTTAAATTATAGCATCAATAAATAGTCTATACCAGAGTTTTCTAAACTGTGTCAGCTGCATGTGTAGGTGTGTTGTGCAAACCTAATGAGAAACCTCTGACTCTATGTGAAATAAGCAATAAATAATATATTTTTAAATATATAAATTAAAGTTTTCATGAGATATGTTGTATCCCTATACACTTTGCAATTACAATATATGTAAGTGTCCATATCTCTTAAAAGGAGTTGGTTTAACTTCCAGTTTTCTAGAAAACTGAATTACTGTGTTGTGAAATCATGTCACTAACATGAAATGTTTGGAAAGTTCTGTAAACATATAGTTCAGTACCTTTTCTAATTAGCCATGCAGATATTAGTTCTTCTTCATCAAACAGGGTTTCTGGGGTCCTGGGAGTTGAGCAGTTAGCAACAAGTATAGATTAGTCATTTTTAAAAGTTAGAGTGTTCAGGAAGTTATATACTTCAGATGTTTAAATATTTGAAGCAAGAAATTCAGTGTATTCAATGCTGAGAGTTGACAGAAAGGCAACTATAGAAAAAATACATCTTCAGCTGTAGGCTGGTACCTTGCTGAATTTTCCAGATCATTTCAATTGCAATGTTTTTTTCATAATTTCTTTGAAATGAGCTGAAACTATAGTGAATAATTATTATTATTTTATTTTTATACCCTGACTCCATTTTCTCGAAGGGACTCAAGGTGACTTACATGTGGCCAAGCCCAGCAATACAGTTAAAACGTAACACATTAAAATGCAAAAAGGCAAAATAATAACAAAAACAATATAAAACAAAATAAAAACAAAACATTAAGCAGTATATAGAACAAACATAGCAATAGCAAAATTCAATGTCTCATCGTGGGTGGGCGGACTGGTGCAACAACAATAGAGGATAGAGCTAGTGAATAAAGTGAATATATCATTTAGCATATAGCTAAAAGATTTCAGAACGACCAGAATTTGAGGTGATGATACTAGAATAACTTTCATCCAAATTTTGTCAGAACCTCCAAGATATTGTACCAGATTTTGTGTCCAATATAATTTAGATTCTGCATACTATAAGTCTTTTTAGGATACCTGAAATAATACACATTTTTCATATCAGTGTGTTTTGTAAAATTGTCAAAAGCAGATTTTTGGGCCAGAAATTGATTTTTCTTTGATATGTGAATATGTCAAGGGTAAAAACTAGGAACATGTAACAAATGCACAGAAAAGTTACTTAAGAAGATCTAAAAAGAAAGAAAGATCTGTTTATTAGAGGGGGTGGTAAATTGCATTGCTAATTTAAAATATCTCTATCTGCATAAATACAAATAAGGAAAGGAATATGAATTGGGGGGATGAGAATGCAACCTGGAAAAATAAAGGGAAGAGGAGAGCAAAGAAAGCAGTGGTACCTCAGTTAAGGATCCAGCACAAAAGCAGTAACAAGAAGCAGAGGAAAGAAGTGGTCCCATCCCATTTACGCTTCCTTTATGTAAGCCAGAGAGAGAAAGGGAGCCCCTCACCCATCCTTGCTCACCTTATTTTGGTGTCGGGGGCTGATCAGAGTTCGTCAGCAGTGTGAAAGAACTATTTTGGGTGCTTGAGATGGAGTGGAGTGGCAGTGTCCATTTTTAAATAATACCTTAATACTCCCTCCTCATAACTTCTTACTTACCTCTGTATCCTCCCTTGGGAAAAAAAAAGATGAAAATGCATAATAAACATTAACAACTACAACTTACTTCTCTCCTCCTTGAGCCGAGACAGTTATCAAAATATTGTAACATACTTGATTATAAGCCAACCTGTATATAAGTCGAGACACCTAATTTTACCACGAAAAACTGGGAAAATGTATTGACTCCAGTATAAACTGATGACGAGAGATGCAGCAGCTACTGGTAAATTTCAAAATAAATATAGATACCAATAAAATTACATTAATTGAGGCATCAGTAGGTTAAATGTTTTTGAATATTTACATAAAACTGTAATTTAAGATAGGACTTTCCAACTCTGATTAAACTATTATTCTACACTTCTTCAATGTAAGCGTGCTTATGTATCCTTCCAATAATACAACAACAACAACAACAACAACAACAACAACAACATTTTATTATGGTCCAAAGACCCTTATTGTACTATAGGCATACAAGGTATGCAGGTAATGAGATTAAGAACATCCAGTTCATTGAACACACAAATGGATAAAATTAATAACAGTTTAAAAACTGATTAAAAATATATATAGGCTAAAACATAATAAAAGACTACAAGAAGTGCTATCATATTTCAGCCTGTGTCTAAAATTGGGAATTGTCTAATTCTGGCTGCTTCAGAAAGAAACGAGAGAATGTATTAGTAAAACTGAGGCGGTTTCCTGATAAGGTAAGTTTGGGTACCAAGGATGGCGTTTCCTCTGGGTTAAAGGTGGTGCTGTTGAACGCCAGATCTGTAAATGGTAAAACAACTTTCATCCAGGACTTAATCTTGGAGGAACAGGCAGACCTGGCGTGCATTAC